GCAGTAAAAATCAATGACATATAGGGGCAACTTCTATAGCCACTCCCAGGAAGTGAGATGACACAGTAGCAGTCACCCCTTCAATAATCTGGCAGCCAGGAGACTGGACCCCCTGAAACCATAGCACTGGTGTCATGAACAGGAAAGCAACACACTCAGAGAGCTTCTCCCCTGCTATGGACAGCATTGCATTACCAGAATAGATGTTTGCTCTGCTTTATCCAACCTCTCCATGACATATTCTTCTAGAAACTGAACACTGGGACTTCTGCCAATACAGCTGTAGAGTAAAACCAAGTGCCTCCTCACAGCTGTGCTTGCTGATTGAATGGACAAACATTCCCAAGTCCCACCTGTCTCAGAATCAATAGCACTGGAGTCCTAGGTACTCTGGAGTAAGGGAAGTGTATTTTAACTTTGAAACATCTGGATTGCTTACTAAAATAATGGTTTATAAAATATAGTGTGTGACTAAGAATATTATCATATAGTCAAGATGATAATTACAATGTTTTTTATCTTGATCTTTGCTGGCAATGTGAGATCATCCTTCTGGGTTGGAAAGATGCAATTCTGGACAAACCACTGTACTGGTTGGTACATGCCAGTCTTCATTATAAAGTCTCAGGAGAAAACCATGGGTAGAGTCCAATGGCTACTGAAGGCATGTGGCTGGATTTAAAGATAAAAGCAAGCTAGGGACATATTTTTTTTTTTACAGGAATTTGAAGAAAGCTATCACTCAAAGACACAAAAGTAGATTGTCACCCCATGAGATACTGGTGAAAATTTTTTAAAAAGTGACCTGGACCAGACACAAGGAATCTAGATATTTGATCTTGGGAGAAGAAACTTTTTCTGGGACATTTCTTTGTCCTTATGCATGTTGGTATTTTTTAAATTGTTATCCAGAAAAAGAACCTAATCCAGAAAAGATCCAGACCACCTTGGGAAGACATGATGTAAATGTACTCACCATGATGGATCATACTCTGGCACCTCGGATGGGGCTTGCTGTACACAGGCGCTCAGTAGAGGAGTGTTGAATGTCTGCACAGAGAAGGGCAGTTCTCATGAGATGGAAAGAACACTTCAGATTCTCAGACATGGCCATAAGTTGTTTATGTCCTCATATCCAAGGTGAACCAGCAGCTATGGGGAACCACCATTTTCTTTTGTATAGAAAGATGACAATGAGAGGTGGGAGCTACACACACACACACACACACACATGCACGCATGCACGCACGCACGCACGCACGCACGCACGCACGCACACATACACACACATTCATACATGCACTCACACAGACACTCACACACACACAAAAGTGTATTGCAGCCATGTGTGAAAAAAGTAATGAAAACTTGGAAGTGAAATACATGTTTTCCTTATGACAATGGGCAAAGATATATTGTAACCATAAAATAAATATCTCATGTTTAAGTGAATGAACTAGATTTATATGTGCCACTCAGGGTAAACCTCAAAACATTACTGCTACTTGAAAAAATACAAATCACAAAATGTTTTATAAAGTATATTTTATTAAAAAATTAAAATCACACAGAATTATACTATATATCCTTAGAAAACAAATGTAAATTTATATAAGTGAAAGGCAGGCACAGACTTCCAGACAGCAGTTATGATTCCATGGAAAGAGAGTGGGGGATGGGAGAGTGGGGCTAAACTCTATCTGTATTTTGTTATTTTAGAAGAAACAGATGCAAATATGGTAACATATTAATAATTATTAAATAAGCTGATAAACCTAGGAGAAATATTATTTATACTTCTCTTCTTAATTAAAAATAAATATAAACATATATAAACTTTGCAATTCCCAAAGCAAGAATCAGGCTTCCTCCCCTGAGCCACACTAAGCAGATGATATGTAAAACATGACTGGAAAACTGTATACACAAACATATATGTGTGTATATGAGCATACATTACACTTGCATGTACACCAATATATGTGCATAGGTTCAAATTAAATGATAAACTTTATTATTTTAATCAAAAATAATATTGGCTTGATCACAAATATCTTTGGTTCTGTGGGGGTCATAGGGTCATAACTTGAACAGCTCTAACCCTTTTCTGTGACTCAGCAATGGACCAAATCTAGAGAAGATGAAGATGGCTGGGGTGGAGAGAGAAGGGCAGAGGATTCCCTGGATGCTGGGGCCCACTTCAGTGTGGGGCTGGAAAGACATGACCTGAAGGTTTTCACAAGGCTAGAGAAGACCCAGTAAAGTCTGGTGAGAACAGCAGGCAGGCATCAGGGTGACTCTCCTCGCACACTGGATAAGGGTGGGTGTCCCCCTAGCTTTCTACACTATAGGAACTTCACCAAGCTGACTGACCTCACTACAGAGATGACCTGGTCGGCTTCTTTGTTTTTTTAATTGGAAAGTTTGTCTGTTTTGTAATAATCAATTATATTATGCTGAATGTGGTTCATTAAACTCTCACAAAAGTCTATCTCAGTATTTCGTCTGTTTACCTTTTCTGGACACTGAATGACTCTCCAAGCCATTTTTTTATTGGCTGGGGGTTCTGAAAAGGTGTCAGGTCACACAGTTTGCAGAGGACACTTGTGGGCACTAGAGAGCAGGTGGAAACAATCTCTGACTGTAGAGAAATACACATAGCTTCTCTCTCTCTTTAAACATCAGGGAAACTTTTGTTTTTGCACAATAAAAGTGGAACATTTCACCAATTTATAATGGTCATCTTTGCACGTCTTCATTAAGTTCTGTAGGGTACTGGTGTGTGTGTGTGTGTGTGTGTGTGTGTGTGTGTGTGTGTGTGTGTGTGTGTGTGTGCGCTCTTGCATGCACACTGCGGGTGGGGAACAAGAGGAGCATATGAGTGCATAGTGTGGAAACTCACTAAATTTTTGCTAAATAAGCATACGTCTTAGGTAGCCTCAGTATCAAGTTAGACAAATGATGTGCTCACTTACACATGTGTGGTGATGATCAATCTTTGTCAAGTTGACAGGGTTTGGAATCTCTTAGGAGACACACATCTGACTATTTCTGTGAGAGTGTCTCTAGAGATATTCAGCTAGGGATTGGAGCCCTATCCTGAATGTGGGCAGCACTATCCTATAGAATCCCAGACTGAATAGTGGGAAAAAGGAGGACATAAGATGGGCATCAGCGTCTATCTCTTTCTGCTTCCTGACTGTGGACCCAAGGTGACCAGCATCCTCATATTCCTGTTGCTGGGCCTTCTGGCTGAGGTGGGATGCACCCTTTCTTAAAGTGTATGCCAAAATAAATACTTCTCTTCAATCATGTCTATCAGGTACTCTGTCATATCAATGAAAAATGTAATTATTACAGATGTCCCATAAGGTCCCAAGGGGGGATAGTTACCCTCAAAATTATCATAATTTAGTTTTAAACTCCCTCGATTGCCCACTTCCTATTTACATTCCAGTTGACTTATTAATAACTATTGTTTATTATTTATTTTCATTTTGCTACATTTCACTTAAAAAATGAAATGTCTTTAGTGGATGGCTTTCTGAGCACAGAGATTGCAATTAGGAACAGATCAAATAATAATGCAAAGGTCATGTGCCTCTACCCAGAAAATAGTCTGTGAAAAAATGAAAATGGAGTCTTTCTTGACTCAGCATCTGAGAGAGGATAACAATTGCTTAGTTCCCACATAGATTACATGTGCTTTTTCTACAATGCTCTAGTTGATTTAGCCTAAGATCCACTTGCCCTGCATTTTAGTACAACAAAACACTGCAGGTCCCTTTATTCTCCAGCACTGTGTTCACAAACTTGATTCTATTTGACCATGCCCCATAACTTGACGTCTACAATGCAATTCGTCTTCCAATACCTATCGAGAAGGCCAAAGAGGGGTTGAAGTAGCCACTCTTCTTTCTTGTTTTTGTTTTCCTGTGTTCCTCTCACACATCAAAAAAACCAACTTTTCTTCTTGGCCTTTTAAATCTTTTCTAGCCAATCTCTGAAAAACTTTATTCTTCTCTTTTCCTTCAGAGAAAGTCATCAGAGAAAGTCATCTTACAGCTTTTGTTTTTTGTTTTTTGTTTTTTTGTTGTTCAAGAAAGGGTTTCTCTGTGGCTTTGGAGGTCCTGGAACTAACTCTTGTAGACCAGGCTGGTCTCGAACTCATAGAGATCTGCCTGCCTTTGCCTCCAGAGTGCTGGGACTAAGGACTAAAGGTGTATGCCAACACTGTCCTGCTTTCTTAGTCCATTCTTTCATCCAGCACTGGCAGGAGTTGCTTTCCTTACTGAAGTGTACCTCCCAGGGGCTCACACATCAATTCAAATGATTTATCAAACTCTGTCTCCCACAATGGTGTAGAAATCTCAAGCTTGATGAGGCCAGGGGAACTGAATGGCCTCTCAGGTCAGGAGAGGCTCTTGATGTTTGTTGCCCAGAAGGTCTCCCCCTTTTTCAGGATACTCATATTCTGTCAACAACTTTTTTTTTTTCTGGGATTTAGAAACCACACGAAGAATGGTCTGAGAGGTGTTTGTATCAGGGAATACCACATGTACATCCCAGGAGATAGCAGCAGCTACTCCCTAGGTGAGGAACAGCATCATCTTGGGCATTACAAGCTGGTGGGGTGTCATTCCTCAAGGCAGCATGGAAGTCCCTGCTGAGATGACAAGCAGACAAGCCTTCCTGGTGGTATCAGTTTCATCGTGACATGTGGGGCCTTCCTCTGCTTGGGACCTTCCAGAACTCTATCTGGAATCTCAGTTCACAAATGTCATCTTCTGAGATGAAGGAAACACTGGTGAGACACAAATCCCATCTCCTACTCTTTGGATTCAGACCCTGATTTCCAGGGGGAGGAAAAATGTCTTCAGATCAAACAGTGAATTAGTGGTTAGACTGGGGCAACCCAACCCCTTCTAGTGCCCATGTGGGTCTCTCTCCACATACTACATTAATTCCTTGCTAACCACCTGAAAGAGACTTCCCTTTTTAAGCCCTGGGGCTGTATCTTTCCAAAGGACAGAGGGAGAGTACACTAATTCATACACTTGGTTTCAGTTGTCCTAACATTTTCCTTTTGCCCATGTTTGGAAGGATGAAGTACTGTACGGTAGATAGCATTTTCCTACCTAAAGGCTGAGAGTAACTATTCAGTTTGAACTACTGTATAAGAAGATGGACAGCACATTTTGAAGAGGAAAAGTGTTTGTATCCACATACTGAAAATTATCCACCATGACCGATATGGTAGAGTTGACCTGTAAGTAATACAGCAAGAACTGAGAGAGATTCTGGTAGATGTTCTTGGTTTGAATTCCAGACTCGCACACTGTTACCAGTGCCTGCTTCTTGACCTTGGAATTGACGAGGAGCCTCAACGACAGGTCCACTGAATGATTTGAGCACTGCACGAAAAACTGCAGTTGACAAATGATGAAGTACCAGCCTGGGAACTGGACCACCAGGTTCCCATCCTGGTATCCGACTCCATGGATGATGCCGTCTTGGTTCCATGACAGTTTGGTATTGTTGAGATGTTTTGACACTGGAAAGGCAGAAGCAGAATTATTGCTCATATGTTAGTTACAGGTTGGAAAACTGTTTTTCAAAGTTCCCATTCAGTGGCCTTGTTTTCTAGAATGCTGCCCACTGTCCCAAACATTTAAACATCTTCTGAAGTACTCTTTCTAGAATATTCATTCAGAGCTAATTGTTTCTACTTAGGAAGGCACAGGAAGAAAGCCATCTGTCTTTCTTTTGTTTAGTGCTCAAAGCTAGAGGGTTGGATAATATACAACACTGCACTGGAAAATGAAAGAACTTGCAGGAGGGTTTTCTAATGGAAGACAGTGCCTACAGATGGTTTTCTCTTATTATTATTTATCACATCATTAATTATTAATATTTCCTTCTTTTCTTTTTCTTCAGTGTCTATACATATATATATATATATGTATATATGTATATATGTCTATATGTGTTTGTTTTATCCCAATGAATGTGTGCAGGTGCAGGTACACACATGTACATATGTTTATTTAACCCAGAGGACAACCTTGGGTACCAGTCTTTACATACCATCTACCTTGTTTCTGGATTTTTTTCTGAAGGTTTATTTTCATTTATGTGTGTGTATATGAATATCTTGCGTGTGTGTGCATGCGTGTGTGTGTGCGTGTGCGTGTGCGTGTGCGTGTGTGTGTGTGTGTGTGTGTGTGTGTGTGTGTGTGTGTGTGT